ATAGCACGGATGACATCACGCGGCACACGCGCCGCTGGTTCACCAAGATGCGGCCGCATGTTCATGGTAATTCCCAGCTGCGCCATGCTTTCGTGGCGCACGCAGATGTCGTACATGCGTGCCAGCAGCATGAGGTTGCCGCCGAATTGCGTCCGCGGCACGCGGTGCAGTAGGTGGCGACAATATGCCGGAAAAGACATGCCGCGGGGGCGCTGACCAGAAAAGCCGTATGGGAAGGACTGGGGGAAGCAAAGGGTGAGGATGGCGGGATGACGGTCATCCAGCACGTGGCTGTCACGACCACCAGCCGCAAACGCAATCCGTGCGCGGCCAGTCAGAAGGTCCTCCACTCGGCCCGGGAAGCGGTCGATTTCACTGCCATCATCACCAACATTCGACGGCTGCGGCAGGATCAGCTCCAGTTCGTCCAGAGTGGCAGCTGCCGGATCAACTGCATGATCAGACGACAGATGCACAAGAGCTGGGTCCGAATGCACGATGTGGCAGGCAATACGATCAGCCAGCATGGTACACGCGGCGGTAGACGCAGCACACGGCGTGTACATATGCTGGACAGAAGTGAAATCGAATCGCCTCAGACACGAGCGAAAACGCGTTTAGCCCTATGGGCAGCCAAGTGAGAGAACGCACGCACCTGGTGGACCTTCAACTGGCTGATCAGCAGGTCCTCGTAGAATGGCGGTGAATGGCCCCGGCACAGGGTCCTGTCCTGCATTCAATAACACACACAGAGGAGCAGTAGAATACATAAGTAGCAGGGCAGGCGAGGATGGTGCGAGAGTCCAGCCTATCCAGTGGGCAAAGCTGCGCATGAAGATTTGTTATGACAACAGGCCGCCCTTTTTGATGCACGGGGCAGCGGCGGTAGTGGCTGTCCGGTGCAGAAAGCGCAGTACGAGGGCAACACGAAAACAGAGGGTACACAAGAGCTAACATGAAACACAGTAACAAATTAACAAACCTGCAGTCGGGGTCGGATCCG